TATCGCTTGTATCGTCATTTTCCACCAATTATGGTCGCCTAGCCACTTCAACAACTGCTGGGGAGCGGGCTGGCCACGAGCCAAACACACCTCATAGACGCCCCATCATCCGCCGCGAACAAGACTGTCTGCCACAGTTTGATAGCCTGTGCTTGGTCTCGCTCAACAGCCAGCGCGATAAGCGACTACAGGAGGCCCTATTGGGTCTCGTAACTATGGTCACAGAAAATAAAGACGTGGGAATATTCAGCGATGAACGGCCTCTTTGAAATTGACAAAGCTTCCGGGAATATGACCCCAGCCAAGTTCAGAGAGGGATTCGAAATCCAAAACTCCTTGATTTTTCGAAAACAGTTTTCGCAAAGGTGGATACGACCTCGCCCTTTCCTTCTGCGACCAAAATACGATTCCCTCGCTGGGAATTCCCAACGTGCGACGTGCTCTGGCCGTATGTTACCCACGATACATATTCCCTGCAGCTTCTGTTGACGTACCGGTCCCATAACCCTACCAACAAACCTCACCAATCGATGATTTTGTTCGGCAAAACAAAACATAAGACTGGTATCATCACAAATAAGTTTTTTTCGTATGTTTTCGAGGAAGCGTGTTCTAATCAGGAAAAACTTTGCACAGCTAATGAATATCTATCACTTATTAGCATTATAAGTTGATACTAGTTGCCAGCGCTTTCCAATTAGCAGAAGTGCAGAGTAAGGGTATCACCTTCAAATTCGTGCAATTATAATATCCAGATATGTTTACTAACCATAAGTCTTTCATTCTTACAAAACATCATCTGTGAGGTAGTCCCTTCCCTTTCACCAGTTTAACACTTTAATTGTTTAATAGATGAAAAGTGTGAAAAACTAGTATAGATGTATATAATGTGTCTAGTATAAGGGTAAATTGTGTCGCGGCAAAAAGGGGCGGAGTTGTCTGGGGGCGGGGCGTGTAATCGTCGCGTCACTTGGTCTGCAGAGAATATGGTGATGACTTGTCATCGTCTGTCTTCATTACTTGCATTAATAGAAGATTTGTGTGGGTAATGTATTCATGCATTACCCACACAAATCTTCTATTAGTGCAAATGAAGTGTGATGACAAGTGTCATCATCATATTCTTTGCAGATTGGCTCACTGAGCCAGTTCTGAGCTCAGGACACACTACAGACTCCACCACTTTGAGCTCATTCCTAATGCAAAAGTCGATAAAGGTGTAATTACCATTTGCAATCGTTATCACAGAAGTTAGTCGAGGCGTGTCAGCGGATTCGTCAGTTTCGCCCGTTTTCCATCGCTCGTGGCGCTTTGAGCATTTAACGGGTAGTGCAAAAAGGGCAGAACCCGCTCCACGTCACGTTTCGACCAACTTGAGTGATAACTACCGTATCTTCCTCGCTACTCGGATCTCCTAACTCGTACTCATGAAAGACCATCGGATCGGTCCACAAAGCGTTGGTGAATTGACAGATCCGCCGTTTTCGAAGGGCCCTATTACCAAGACATCAAGAAGGGCGGATAACTCCAGAAAATCAGCGGTAACTCTAGAAAACGAAGAGTGGCTTCAGATGAGCCCGTTCCACTGAAGCGATACAACTGCCTTTTTGTGCTTCACCTACCCTTCCCGTTCGATGTAACCGATGCATTCTGAATGGACTATTTATTCGTACTGAAAGTCGAGCTGCACTAATATGTTTGGTAATTTTCAAATTTATTTTTAATAGCCTCTCTTTACTTGGTAATACTCACTCAAAAAAAGCATGACAAATTGAAATCATCAACGCAAACACAGGTTTAGTAGCCTTCAGACTTCGCCATGAGGCGCGTCGACGCGCTACCACTGTAAGGGCGCCTCAATGCCATAGAGGCATACGTAGCCGCAGAAGGGAATCAATCGGCGCTGACCGCTTGCGTTTCGAAATAGTATAGCATAAACCCTCCTAGTCCTTTATAATCTCCCACTCTACTAGCGGTCAGCGCCGATCAATACCAGATCGCGCGATTGTTCAGCGTGTAACCTCCTGTTCATTCTCTTCGAAAACACAAGCCGGCCGGCGCTGATCGATTCCCGAGTGCGGCGCATCTATAACACAAGAGCGGTGTTGCAACTGTTGTAACAGCGCGTTTGCGCGCGTCGACGCCCGATCACGCGAAGTCTGAACGCTTCCTATAAAACAAAATATTCAAGCAGAACTAAGTGGGACATCAGCTGAAGGGGTAGTCACGTGAACACTTGAACTTCGCATAGCCTATTGCGGAGCGGTCTACGGACAACCAGAACTCGATCCACTTAATCTCGTCAACTTTCTGTTTTTCTCTGCCTTCTCACGTCTGCATAACTATCCATGATCACTGTGACCTCTACAGCCAACCTTTTCAAGCATGACAAAAGGCTCATTCACCTCAGCATCCCGCTCCCATTGGAAAATCCATCCCTGGCTCTCGACATGCTTTCTGCATCTTTCCTGTAGTCCCTCATCTCTCGCGCTCTTGCCTTTCGCACTGGGACCCTCATCAAACGTTCTAATTGAAACGTAACCTTGCAAAACCTTGGCACGCAGACATCTGGAGGACGTTAACTGCCACCACCAAGAAGTACAAGAAAAACATGTTATCAGCGAGCCAGAGAATGGGGGTTTTTCAAGGGGTGGAGACCTCAAGGAGAACAAGCCACTCATCATGCGTGAAAGGCTAGAACGCGTAAGGTCACGTATTATACTTGCCGGCCACATAGCGTAGCGTAGCGCTTCCAGCGTACGCCAGCGGCAGTGCCGAAGAGAGGATGCATATCGATCTAGCTTCACCAGCGGCACGCTGGCGTACGCCTAGCGTTTCTCCAGCGTTTCACCAGCGTTTTGCTAGCGCTTGCAGCGGCAGGGGAGTAGAGACTATGTGGCCGTGAGAGAAGCGGAATCGACGTGTATTGTAGAGACCATATGGCCGTCGGAGACGCAGAAGCGATGTGCATTGTAGAGACTATGTGGCGTCGGAGACGCAGAAGCAATGTGCATTGTAGAGACTAAGGGCGAGTGGGAGACGCGCAATCGATGAGTTTTGTACCCTCCAGCTCTCCCATAGTCTCTACTCCCCTGCCGCTGCAAGCGCTAGCAAAACGCTGGTGAAACGCTGGAGAAACGCTGGCGTACGCCAGCGTGCCGCTGGTGACGCTGGTGAAGCTAGATCGATATGCATCCTCTCTTCGGCACTGCCGCTGGCGTACGCTGGAAGCGCTACGCTACGCTACGCTGCGCAAAGTATAAACCGCACCCTAATGGTCACGTACGGTCATTAGAAAAGCCACGTAGTGAGGAGTGTATGAGAAAAAATAAAAATTGACACCTATAGAAGGGAGTTCCAATTGTCCGCGCGCGCCTGTGCGGCACGGACGTGCGACGTGACCGGTCAGGGTACAGCATCTTGTCGTGAAACACAAGGGGTCGTTACTTGAGCGCTAGGAGGGGGGGTGTATTTGGTAGTAGTTAATGACGAGGGGCGGAGGGTCGTATGTAGCGCTCTGGAAAATTATGTCGCGTTGGGAAACTTGCTTTCAAAATGTACTATCACTCCCCCCACCCCCTTCGACATCAAAATTTTCTGGGTGAAAAAGGAAAATTTCCGGCAAATTCCGAAAAGTGGTAGGAAGTTGGGAAAAATCTGAGAAATTTTCCTGTTTCACATTGGCTATAAACTCCCTCCCTCTCCAACTCGACGGAAAATCTTTAGGTGGAAAAATGGAAAATGTGGGAAATTGGTAGATAGGTGTTGGGGAAGGGGGGAGAGGGTCGTACCGACACCACCATTTCACATATCACGATGCTGTACACTGCGACCGGTTCTATCGACACGCATCATCTGAACTGTGCGCAGCGCTACCGCGTCGCTCCCACACTGGTGTCTCACATTGTAAGTAATAAGTCAATACACTGAGATCACCACATACTCAATGAAACATCACATGCACGAACACCGAAGAATTTACAATTGATATCACGGCCATCCGATGAAGCCGATGTGAGAAGACGTGCAATGTGTCCACCCGCAACTAGTCCTCACTGGTCCTTTTACACGTGAACCGACCACTATTGGTAGAAAACGCATCCGCGGGTGGGTTCATTCCACGCCTCCTGACGCAGCTGAACTGCGATATCAGCTATATTGGACATTTGCTTCCCATTAGGCAAGGTATTTATCCAGGACTGTCGTATAAACATACCGAAGTATGTCTACGTAAGCTTTCTGGCGATTTCGCCTGTGGTATACTGTCCACTGCCATTTTGATGCTTTCCAGGAAGACAGCATCACGTATCAAGGAGTTCGAATGAGGGTCCGACGGCTCTTGCTCAGATGTTTGGGATTCATCTTTCACAGCAGACGTCATCAAATGGTAATCATCGGTCGGCTGCGTAGACAATATCGAATAGGATTCTTCTTTTGATGGATAATATACTGGCTGCTGCTGCTCTTCCTTCACCACGCCAGCCATCACAACCCGACTAGGGCCGGGTGTTGGAGCAGCAGAAGACGACGATGGTCCTTTCTGAAAAATGTTATTTATAGAAAAATGGAGAAAGCAAAGTTACTTTTCATAGATAACGTCAGCGTTGACCACGATTTACGCGCCACATCAGGAAGTTAGCATTCGAAAGATACAGAAGTACACTGGATAGCAATGGAAGTAGAACCACCAACCTCTGATGTGGAGTCCGCTTCAAGCTCGAGGTCATCCAGCGAATCAAGCCGACTCCCATCCTCATTGGCTAGACTTCTGAATAAACAAACTTCTACAAAGAAAACTCAAGTCATACTTGCAATTTATTTTTTCGTATTTTGCGCCACAGTCAGCTAGGTACTTTTCCAATATGATAACTGCTGCTCAACTCCCAAATTCGCACACCAGACGTTTTTGCAAGAATGCTAATTTTTGGGTAAAACATTTGACTTCAGGCGGGACTCAAACCCGCATATGTTCATTGTCGGATAGCCCACTCGCTCGATGAGGCGTGGGCTCGACTTCCGCCTGAGATCGAGTGTTTTGCCCATAACTCAGCATTAGGCAATGTTCAATATGGGACTTCAGCGAAGTGGGCGAAAACGTGGGCAGGCGAATACGGCGCCATCGCGAGTATAGGGTTACAGTCAGGCCACGTCCTGCAGCTGGGGAAAATTTTCGGAAAATACAACACCTCCCTTAATTCCCTCCTCTGATACGAACTCCCCTTACTCATCCTACCTACTTTCCCGACTTCCTACCACTTTTTCCAGTTTCTTTTTCCGGAATTTCCCGAAAAGTAACTGTCAACAACCAACTACTAGTTTCAACTATTAGAAATAGTAGTTCCAAAAAAGTTTTTCTCAGACTAAATACGACCCCCTATCTCGTCCGAGACCACACACGACCCCTCTGATGATTCCCCAACGTATGACATGGTCTGGTTAGTCTTGGCTGAGAATGATGGTCAGCGAGGCTGGGTTTGGCGTGGCGCCAACCCGTTTTCCACCACTTGTTGAAGCGGGGAAGCGGCAACCATTAGTGGAAAACGACTGATGCGAACAAAATTATAGTCTCGTCGCTTGCCAAAAAAAAGAACACCAAGCCTATACCCGTGATACGCCCTATTATCCGCAGCGAACAAAACTGCAGCCTACCTATCAAGTTCGCTAACTCCACCGAAGTGAAGGATGAGAGAGCAGGCTTAGTGTCAGCTTCGTCCGCTCGTTCCGCCAGGTCTCTCGATCGATACGTATCTAGCCCTTTTTGCGATGGCGCCGGATTCGGCCGCTAGGTTCCTCGTTTTTTTTTTACCAAAATGTTTTCCCGGATATGCTTCTTTCACCGATTGTGCATGGTCGCAGATCGTGAATGAATATAATACCTTATTGGGGAAAAAAGTCCACTGTAGTGGGGGGGGGTGTGAGGTCACGTGGCAGCACGGCGCGAAATTAGTTCCACTGCGCCCAGCGATGAAATAGCGGATTCTTGCCGTATATACCCTTCTCATCCTGAACCTCGAGAGGAAAAGAGATCAGCACTTTGCCTGTCGCGTGGCCCAATACAACTACGCTGGCTTCAAAAAAACGAATCACCTAACGAATTTCTGTCGAAAAACTTCTAAAGCTGCCAAAATTAATGGAAGACCAACTTAGGCGAGTTTGGTGTCGAACTCAGGATGCACCCATCATCAGAAATCACACTGTCACATCCGTTGTTTAAATTCAAATCCCCTTCGAACAAGCCGTCATCTGAAATTGGAATAAACTCAATAAAAGACAAAAGGATAAAGCCTTGGTCGCTGTTCAGCCCCTTTTGCGGTACGTATTACTTAGCACTCAGCATCGTATTGGCTTAATGAAGGTGATATGGCCTACACGCTGACTTGGAGAGGGGCATTACGACGTACAACAGAGTGCTTTTATACTTCCAGGCAAATCTAGTCCCGAGAAAATGGAAGGCTTTGTTGGCCAGCGGCGCGCGCGTGTAAACGGGTTACTTGCCCCAAGGTCACCTCCGCCGGCACCACGATAAAAAAATAGTATAGCGCTGTACAGAATATTGGGTAGAGACGACTCCCCTTCCTTCAATTTATCAACTTTCCGTACGATCCCTCTTCATATTTTTCGAAAATTTCACTGTCGAGCGAGAGGGAATGGAGGTGGGAGCCTTAAGGGCCAAATTCCTACCCATTTTCCGATTTCTTCCAGTTTTTACCAGAAAACAAAGCGTTGAGCCGGGGTAGGGGAAAGCGGTGGTATATAGGCGAACGGGGAAGGAAAGAAAAAGTTCGCCTCGCAACGCAGGAATACTTCTACGATCTCCCGATCAGGATTGAGCTAATGATCAGCGCCCAAAACGGAAAAAAATCGACCACTAAGAATTTTTTTGAGGGTAATTACGACCGCTTCTCCAGCGCCCAATGAACGACCCCTCCAGGACATTTTTCACCTCCAATCAAGTGCAAGCTCACCATTGTCGCATAATAGAAATCTGTTTCGTTTTCGTTGTTTCCTTTCCTCCATTCGAACACGTTCTTCTTGAAGTCTGAAAGGTTCTCGAAATCAAACAAGGCAGCAATGCTGCCTAAAAAGGAGTGCATCACTCAATAAGCCCTACTTTGAGGCGCGGGCTCTCATATATCAATTAGGGGTAAACTCACTCAGCGGCATTCATATGGCAAATGTGATCCAATGCTGCCGGATCGCCGAGAAATTTATCATTTCGAACCTGAGCAAATCAGTCTAATAAGGAATTGTTCTATCAATTTTTATGCTTCCATAAACTTCATTAACCATAACTCACCATTATACGAACATATTTCCGCCTCGACTTGCACCTTGCACATGTATAGATGTCCGCTTTTCGAGAATTTTTGCGATGCAGCAAAAAACGAAATGAACGGCGCGTGAAAGGATCGTAGTAAAACAATGACTGCCTTTTCTCCAATCCTAAAAAGCATGCAGTTCAAAAAACGAACCAAGCGTTTACAGCACAGCGACAAGCGCTCTCTGCTACATCTTTGACTTGTATACGGCTCCGCTTTGATTACGTCAGACTGAACGGATACCTGTACTATTCCGAGGTAGTATTAGTATGCTATGGCAAACTCTTGCGACGCTGGTAAATTTCTTTAGTTGGCTAGGCAGCGTTCAGACTTCGCGACGGTAGCGCTTCGGTCGCGCGTTGGAAGCGATCGATGCGCATGCTTTCGACTGCATCGATCGCGTCGAACACGTGACCGAACTGCTACCGTCGCGAAGTCTGAACGCTCCCTTAGAGACACCCTGCTTACTCACCTCTAAGCATGGTCTTTTCCTGTACGAGCTGAACGAGTCAGCATCTACAACAGTGCCCGCTTAAAGTGCACGGGAACGTGTTGGGGGAGGGGGTAGTCATGCCCGATAGCCGTCTACATGCTCCGTCCGCGCTATCCTCAATGTGCAGCACTTGCGTCGATACCAAGGTTCCGTAGCGAAACACGCACCTAGCCGTAGAGAGCAACCAGAAGTGAGGTCGCAGACAAGTAGAGTGTTTGGCTACGGCCAGGAGAGCAGCTGGCCATGCGGCAGCGCGGTCGGACTATAGATGACGGCATCTTGGACATCACAATCTCCAACCCCCGTTCCGATACACTTCGATGGGGAGGTGAAAGACAGGGAAAATGACAGGGTGCATACATCTGCGGCCTATGTGGCTTAAGTGGGAGCCCGACTCAGCTTCCATTCACTAGCTGTACGGATAGACGTACAAGGAGTTTCTTTTGGACTTAAAATTCTTGTACAATAAATACTTGGTAGCCTATTTGTGTTATTCAAGGCATTCATGTACAGTTAATCGTTAACAAACTGTTTAATCAAGTAATCATCAATGGCTCTTTGAAGCTTCCATAGAGGCTTTCTGCTGTGAGTGCGTAAGCCAGTGAAGGACCTACCAAACGCACAAGAGTTCAGCAGAGACGACCTACACCGCTACGATGCCGAGGGTTCATTGAAAATATAGTCGCAATCAGTGAGAGGCGTCCGGAGAAGGGGGGGGGAGGGGAAGGTAATCAGCCTGTTTGCCTCACGCTAATTCGTACTGATAGTGATCTGTTAGCGATCTCTACAGAAAAAGCAATCGTAAAAACGCCGCGACAGGGCTCATTCCACACTTTTCGGCACTGGTTGGCCCGACTAATTGCGACGATATCAATTGTAAGTAAAATGGTATCAGGCCTGAAAAAGCCAAAATATCACGTAATATCAGACTAAAGGGTGAGTTCCTAATGTTTTGAAAGTCATCCGCTTCCGAAGCTGTTTCCTAACGACATAGTGCCTGTTTGTCTGCTCCCTCTCACCCACCAGGGAAGCGGCATATATACCATTCAAAGACAAGACACGACATAGTCGCGCCGCGGCGGCGTGGCCTCCCTCAACTACTTTAGTCCCATGTCACATGTCAAGGCCCGCTTTGCCATTCTGGACCATTCAGCTGGTAGCGAACCTACTCAGGGGACCATTAACCATTTAATAATGCTATGAAAAAGCGTTAAACGAGAACCTTCATGATTCCTCCTTTTCTTGTAGCCGTGATTCGTAAGAGAACTTGTCGACGGTGCCTCACTCTCCACTTCTTCAGAATTTTCAGCAGCATTCTTTCTGAACAAGTGGTCATTTAGAAAAGAAGCTTTGCTTGTAGAAGGTGCACGTACACGAAGAACCGGGAAAGTTGGGCTGCTTACTTCAGACTGCTTTCACTTTACGTCAACGTACGCCAGCGCCAACGACTAACAAAGTATGGATATCGATCTAGCGAACGCCAGTGTCTGCCGGCGTTTTCGCAGACGATTCGAGCTTGAGCAAAACTGCCCGCGAAAACGCTGCTGTACGCAGGCATGCTAGCGTACGCTAGATCGATCCCGTCGCTCGAAACGCTGCTGTACGCTGCCATCGTTAGATCCATACTTTCCTAGTCGCTGGCATCCGCTGACGCAAAGTATGAACGCAGCCTTACTTGGACGTGTCAGTGGCTGCTCTTTTGGTGTGATGTTGCCGTTTCGGTGGAAGTGTAAATCATACTTTGTCCAGCGCAAGGACGCCAGCTACCTACACACAACCACCTTAATCAAGCTTTAACACAAAGTGAAGAACGCAGTCACCCCTCCTCCGCATCTTTGGGACATGAAGTGGATACCTGTGCACAGTCTCTCGTGAAACTGGTATTGGGCAAAAACCTAACTGGAGAGAACAGGGCTACAGGTAGACTCGGCAAAATACCTCCCCAGAGGTCAGCGCTAGCGCAATAAAAATACCCCTCGTGCCACGAGGGGGTCACCGAAGCAAAAAATATTAATAAAGGCTAGAAACGACCCCTCAACCCAAGATCCATCCCTCTGGTCGGATTCTCCCAATTACTGCCCCTGTATCCGAACAAAACGAGGACGAGGTCATATTTTCTCTATTTCGAGAGCAATGAAATCTTTAAGACCACAATCATACCTCGCGCCAGCGCAGGGCAGCGTTTAGAGCATACGCCGTAGCGATTAAGATAGTATAGCTATCAATCTAGCGTACGCCAGCGTCCAGGAGTGGAGAGTATGCTGAAGTAGGAGGGTAAGATACTGCTGGATCAGGCTTGTGCAACCGTAGAGTTCAACTGCCACCCTACATCAATAATGCATTTTCTGTGCTTAGGCAGTTGGATGAAGCGGTTGCACACGCCGCAATTTCACGCCTAATCCAGCATGCTGTTAGCCTCTTAGCTCCCCATACTCTCCACTCCTGGAGGACGCTGGAACGCTAGATTGATACCTATACAGCTGCTGACGCGGGCGTACGCTTGAAATGCTGGCGTACGCTTACACGAAGTATGAACGCGTAAAGTATGAGCATGATCACGGTTTAGTGGAATGATTCGCAGTAGCTATTCAACAACTCTTACCAGGGAAGGTCGCCAACTTACCGACAACTACTACTACTTACTCCATTCATGACCTGGGTGGATCGATAGAGTCTATAAGGTTATTAGATACGCGCAAAACTGCAACGTGCACTCCACAAGCAACTTATGAGCAGGTAAAGTTTGTAATGGTGCAGTAGGGTGGAGGCTTGGTGGTGAGCTGTGAAGCATAAGCGAGGAATCGCATGAATCGCACAAATGGAGTCGTGGTGGTTCGAGCGTCAAGTACTGCGCTCACAGGGGCACAGCCAGGACGTCGAGGTGTGTGTGGCGATGCATCCAGTTGGCGTTGTGCGTACACAGCTCATCACATACGGCTTCACTGCCTAACGTTTGCACACTAAAAACTTTTACCTGCGTCATAAGTTACTTCTGGAAATGCAGTTGCAAGTATGTTGGCGTGGAAGCTCGATCATTTGTTTAATTGGCCTTCATAGACTCTATCGATTCCACCTTCAGGTCATTTCACTCAGTTTCCTAACGTGTATATTGAGATGTTTTTCGACCCTTCCATGGGAGTGAGTAGTGATAAGCTGCTGAAGACCGACTACGAAGCTTTCATAGTTCAATACTACTAGCGGCTCCTTTGCTTTCTGGATTATTCGCTTCATATTATCTCCGGGCATTCCTTCCTGTCAGAAAGTATTGAATTTCCGACTGGGCAAGGAGTTTCGGATCCTGATAGTGATGGGCGCCCATATCCGAACAGTGATCCTGGAAGTAGGTAGGTTATCGAGGAGTTTATAGTGAGCAAACAACGTGGAGAATCCCACGAACAAAAGACGAACAAGAAGAAGGGGAAAAAAGTAAAAACTGAAAGGTGAATGTTAAATTCAACAAGAAGAAGTGATTAAGGCTGGCATCTCCACTGGGCAACTCGCAGTCTATTGCAGCGAGTCTGTGAAGAGAGTTTCACCATAAATGTAGAAACTTGTAGTTTTCAACGTGAACATAATCGAATAGATCTCAGAGACAGGGAAGATGCCTCTTCTCAATGGCAAAGAAGTCGCCAGAATTTCATACTCTGCACCTTTTATCTTCATTCCTGAAACTTGGTGCAGTTAATTGCTATGAGAATGTAAGGAGAATCGTTGGAAAAGCTCTAAGGCTGCGTTCGACGACTTTGCGTCTGCGTCCACATCAGTCGTTTGCAGCGGTAGAGTCTAAGGATGGATAGTATGGGGAAGCCAGGAGGTTTGCAGACGTCAAAATGGTGGTAGTGTGCATCCTACACCGTACTAATATGGCACTACATTTCCGTACTTTCAAAATTAACATTAATTTACTCTCATGCAGGTTTGAGCGGTATGGTCGTTTTGCACACTTCCGCCGCAAATTTCACTGACGCCTAGTCCAGCAGTCCTGCCAACCCTCCTACTTCCCCATATCTCCCCACCTCCTAGACTCTACGCCGGCAATCTGAACGTATGAACGGTGGCGGATGCCGGCGTCCGCAAATCGATACCTGTACTTCCCTAGTCCCTCAAGACGCTGGTGGACTATTGCGTACGCTAGATCGATATTTATACTTACCTAGTCGTTGGCGCTGACATACGCATCGAACGCTGGTAGAGTCTAGGAGTTGGAGAGTATGGGGAAGCCAGGAGGTTGCAAGACGCAAAATTGTGGTATGTGCATTGCCACACCGTACAAATCAACTACCGTACGGTCAAAATTACATAATTTGCTCCGAGCAGTTGAACGGTGCGTTGCACACGGCCGAATTTCAATGACGCCTTAGTCGCAGCAGTCTGCACCTCCTACTTCCCCATTATCGCCGCACTCCTAGATCTCTACGCCGGCATTGGAACGTAAATGAACGGTGGCGTCTGAATTAAAAGTATGAAACGCAGCCCAAGCAACTCTTTTCCTCTGATGTCGCAGCACGAAATAATGTTTTGCATTACCTCAGTGTTCTTTGACTAGGCGCGTACTAGTACTCTTTCACGAAACTGATGAAAAAATTATCGGTAGTTCGCAACCCTGCAGAATAAAACAAGCAGTCATTGTTCAACGATTCTTGAAAAAAAAAACGCAAACCTAAGGATATTAGGTACGGATTTCATTACTTTTCGCTAAATTCCATAATTTTTATGTCGAAAATGGACGTTAAGACAGTGACGAAAAACTACTAGAAACGCCCCAACGACTTGGAAATGAGTCCCATGAATTTTGAGGCATTTAGGCAGCGTTTAGACTTCGCGACGACAGCACTTCGGTCGAGCGATCGATCAGTTAAAAATCATGCGCATTGATCGCCCGTAACGGTGGGCGCGCGACTGAGGCGCTGCCGTCGCGAAGTCTGAACGCTGCCTAAGCGGCCCTACGACCAAGAATTGGCTGCTGTCTTGCAAGCCGACGTCAATGAATAGTGCGTTTCAATCAATGCGCCAATCTCACAGCATCTGAAACGTGACCTTAAAAACACCTCACAGCATCTGAAACGTGACCTTAAAAACACATTTCAAAGCCGCCGTAAGCTTCATACCTGAATATCAAACTGTGCTCTTCAAAGGAATAAAGATATGAGTAAATCTACCATTATAGGAATCCGATTGAACAACTGAGATCCATTAAAAAACAATTAAAAAACCATGAAAAACTTTTGTGGTGTGAGGGTGCTCCACCTAGAACCGGCCCCAGTCATGCAGCACAAACATTGCAGATTTGGCTTTCGCACTGTTTCATTGCCAAAGGCGCTTAACCTGGCACACTATTTCTCTTCGACCTCTTTCGACGTTATCCTCGCCTAGCCAAAGTAGCCAGTTTTCTGGGGGCACAGAGCGCATTTATTGACAAGGGTGGAGAGACGCACAGGAGAGCAATCTTCCAAAAACCGTTCAGTGTCTTTGTGTTGTTTCTTTTTTTGTATATTTCAATCTTCTAATTGGTTTTTAAACGCTTCTTATTGAATACAGATCGTTCACATAAATAAGAGCATACAAAAAAATCACACTAAAGAGAAGCCAGCAAAAATCTTTCAGGTACTGACGTAGAGAAGAACTTAAATCCCACACGAACGTTCCCGGACCGCGAGGATCTCACCCGATCCGGGGAATACGTTTTGTCGTAAAATAAAGTGTACGGTGTGACGTGCACACACTACATACCATCCCACGCGCAAGCGTACAGATTATTTCGGCGAGCGCCTCTGAATGAGGGACTGTCTGTCGAAGAGTCCCGGAGAGACAGACCTGAATGCTACGTGTGCTTATACTCAGTTTATTTGTATGAGGGCACTACTGAACTATTCCTACCCCAGCCTGCCAAAATCAGGCCGGTTTTTTACCGACTTTTCTACAAGGGCAGATTTGGCTGAAAATTTGCTCGTAGGGGTACTTCGACCTCCTGAACACGAATATCACATCCGCTTCGCCCGAAACTGCCTGGCGCCCGCGCCACAGGCGCCGGCGCCAAAATACCCTAAATCACCAAATCGCTGAAAACTTGTGTACGGGGGTTATTTGACATCCTGTTTACGAATATGACATTTATTCTTGGCGCCGGCGCTAATGTAGGACACTACGTCATCTGCGCTTTGCTAGGACTGAGCCTGGCCTGAAGGGAAAAAATGTCATACTCGCGATCGGGGCATCAAATAACCCTATTACGCAAGTTTTTAACGATTTTAGGAAGTAAATGTGTGGTGCCACATTGGCGCCTAATGGCGTCAAAAAAAGATGCCATATTCAAGATGTCAGTTAACCCCCTTATACAAGTTTGCATCAAATTTGGCGAGGAAAGTGTTGGCGCCATGTTGGCGCCTATTGGCGCCAAATGGCGCCAGCGCCAGAAATGAATGTCATATTCGTGATCAGGACATCGAATAACATCTATAGACAAAGTTTCAGCGAAAAAAACTTTTTGAGTTTTTGGGGTAGGAATATTTCAATAGTGCCGTATGAGTTTTATTACTGCTACTATAATATACACAGTAGATGTTGCGGCGCTGATGCATTTGGGGAGGTGGGCAGGAGGGAAATTCGGCAGCGCTCAAGGACAGATCCCGCGCTCAGAGCGTTTTGCGGCGTCGCTCGCCTTGTGCAAGTAGATCCACCGCCAAACTGAAGATAACCGCCTCACTCCGCGTCTCCTGTGAGTGAATAGGGTTCAAAGCGCGTCGAAAAGTTCCTTAATTCTAAGCGCTTCTCAGTGGACAGCCACCCAACGAAATATCTCTCTGCCACCTACGCAGTGGGCCTCGATTGTAGTTCCTTTGCGCAGCGTGCGGGCAAAAATCCTAAGCGCCGCGTTACTAGCGTGCGACGTATCGTTAACGTCGACGAAAGCTTGCGAAAGGCTGGCGCTAAGGTTGCGTAAAGCCTGCGACTGGTTGTTGAATACATACGGTATCGCATCCAAAACGAAAGTATAGTTGCGTAAGCTGACGCAACTTACGCAGCTTACGCAACCTTACGCAAGCTTCGTCGGAGATCGATACGTATCTCTTCCGGACTAGTCGCGAGGTTTACGGCAACTTCCGCAAAAGACCGTCAGGCGCGTATGAACCCGGCCTAATTGCGTGTCTATTTAACCGACCGCGCTCGTGCTCATATGTAATTATGTTCTCCTTTATTACTTTTTCTTCATTAGGAGCCATACAGTCGACAGCAATCCATTTCGCGAGGTAAGACTTACTCAAATCACCAGTGGCGCAATTTTTGATGCAAAAGCTCGAGGTGCATTGTTTACCGTAATCCTAAATACTTACGCAGTTTCCGAAACATCTTTCTGTAACGGAATATACTTCTGTATTTTTGTTGTTTTCGTTTATTTTCTTCGCATTAAACGGATACTGGAAGGTGCGAAAAAGGCGACTTGCGGGGCAGCTCCCCACACGGGACCGCAGGCGCCGAGTTGCCCATGCAATGAGACTGTGACTGTAGGGAAACGATTTTGTTTATTGAACTTGGACATTTTTTTTTGCTTCCTCGTCTTTGGAGAATTGCTTATCAGCTTCTGATTCATTACTGAATACCCACTATCCATGGTACTTGACTGCGGGAATTATCTTTGAGTTGTTTTCTAGTAGGGTTGAGTTGGGTTGAGTTGAGCTGGGCCACGCATCAGCGCTTCTTTGTCGCTTTCCCTAACCAAGCTTGGATGTAGAGCGCAGACGACCAGCGTCGCATACAAACTGTTTGCTCTGAGTAATCCGGTGCGACCTTGCTCATTCATGGTCTAATAGTAAGCTCAAGCTCTGATAGGGGAAAGGACGTAGAGGTGCTTCCGTGTGCCCCAATTCAACTACGTTAGCACCCCACCACTTGTTTCTTTTCTGAACGATGTGTACTAACATGCTGCTTCCAGCTTGTGCTAATAAGTAGGCGGAGCAACACAAAGGGGCGGGCCACACCCACTACCGCGCTCAAAACCCCCACTCATTCATGCATCCCACGAAGATTTCTTGGAAAGAAATGCCTCTTCCTCAGCTAATAACTTCAGTTAGAATGTCAAATGATCTGACTGTCGCCTTCTGGCACGAAGCAGATAAGAACTGGGCGGAGCAACCCATAAGCGCGGGGTTTCCCACGAGAACGGTTTCAAATCTTTATTATCTCCAATAAACATATTCAAAATAAATTTATCACTCTGTTGCCGAGCACTTGGAATTTTGTACCTGGATGGACTTATTATTAGCGAATTGCACTTAATATTAGTGGAAAACGTGGAACATTTGCCGACCTATATGTCGAAAGACACAAAACTAAATGTGAAAGCACCACAAAACAACACTATAATATTCTTTCGTATTGATATTTACGAGAACTTTCGACTGAGTCCAACACGCGCGCGCACGGCCGCGAACTTCTCACAACCAATCAATAAATGCTCGTCATGAGATGCGAAACAGCTTTGGAAACGAAAACAAGACGCGCCTACATCATACCAAAGGCGCCAGAATCAAAGAGAACACAAAAAAATTCGAAATGCAAAATGTAAGGCATACGGTATACATGTATAATTATTAATATTTAACACAATATCAGTTGAGCAAACAATAAAATACATGGAATCGATTGCTTAGGTATTTAATTGACTTTCTCACTACGATCTACCGGCGATAGCCGTTCTGCGGATAGAACGCATACGGCTGCGGGTGGACAAACGGTCGCCAACGTTGTTGATGCATGTTGAAGGTCGGATCTTGGAAGTACGGTCCGTGATGGTGTGCTGATGATTGCCGAGAGCGTTGAGGTGGGGGCGAGGTGCCAGACGTGACTCGCTGAAAAAGTCTCATTATTGGAAAAAGTACTTAGCTATTCATATAGTTTGGTCCGCTGGATGGGACGTATCCGCACGCTGCATTTGGCGGACGCAACGGCACTTTTTTCTTCGGCAAAGCGACAGGTGTTTTCAGATGTAATTGCTCGCGTTGCTTGTCCTCTCACCGGATTGTGTAGCTTACCGCTCCAACAGTGAGGAGAACGGGCTGTCGGTGCGCTAAACTCAGCCTCACTGACGCCATCATCTCACGGGCGAACAACAGCGTAATTAGAAAATTGGGAGGCATGCGCCACTGTCAGTTGGACTAGGTGTGGAGTGGCGTTGCAACTGTTTATGAAAAGAAATTGAAAAAAATTGAAAATTGATAATACGCCGTGGGAGTGTAGGAACTTTGCGCCGCTGAGCATGCGCTACAATAAGTGCTTTTTAAAGGAGGTATCTATAAGGACCCTATCAAGCCACAACATACGACCGCAGCACCGCGCCGACAATGGAGCGTCCTGACGCTCTAATCGATTTCATTTGGGCTGAGCAAATATGAAAGAACATGATTGGTATGAAGCGGCGTGATGCTGCATGATATGTGCTACACATATGCAAGGCGTACTTCGTAGCGATTACTGCAAGATGCCTATTGGAAAATCGTCAAAAATGTATAAGTCATTTGAGAATGGAGGCTTTTCTCAGTAGGATTTTGACCGTTAACTGCGTTCTTTTCGCGCCATTCCCCATATGTAGCAGTACTGTATTTTTAAACGTTACAAGAACCAAATCGACTGCCAACTCCGTAACTGTCCCTCATGGGAGTTAATTTTGTGGTGCTTCTGCTCGAAGATGGAGGGAGGAGAATATAGAAGAGGGAAGAGAGAGGAGAGCGAAGAGAGAGAAGAGAGGAATGAGGAAAAGATGAAATAGGAAGAAAGAGGGAGGCCTCTCAGATGACAGGTGTCCTGGAATACTCTGCACAGAGGGTACACCATCCTGATGAGGGAATTGGCGGTGTGTGTACAACGCCCCTCCCCGAAAGGGTGTTCGTTCTTCAGCTAGATCAACCCCGTTCCTATATTATCTACCATGTTTCTACGTATTATCCTACTTCGCGCCACTTTCCCCAGTTTTCCGGGAATTGTCCAGTCCCCCCCCCAACAAAAAAGAACGCCCGTGGAAGCGAAACGGGGGGAGGGGGGGGAAAGGGGTGGTCACCAATCAACCTCTGTTGTCAACTATCAGATATAGTTGTGACATGGAAGTTCTGCGGCGTCAGCAACTATGAGATGAAGGGTGGAGGAGCGAACATGAAACGGGAAAAACCGTGAAAAGTCAACAACTGAAAAAATCTCTCGCTAGTCGGGAAATTTCTCTTAAAGGCGAATACGACCCCAATCCTCCCCATTAAAAAAGGAGAGCTTTCCGAATGGTTTATCTCAATGTTGCTGTACCCTGTCTGCACATCGGATTCAGATGAGTACTGCGAACCGTCCTGAAGCGCTATGGCTAGAAAGCGCGAAGTCTGAGACAAACTGGTTCAAAAAATGCAAGGAATTCAGAAACATGAAAAAGAGAGAAGCATGTGCCAGATGACAGGACTGTAAAAAAAAGAATAAAACAGAAGAATATTACGTCTTAACTCCTCACCGGACTTGGCGGAGCCTCGTAAATCGAATCGTCACGGGATCCTTTACGCGAATTTCTATGCTGCCGTGGAGTCTCGGACGGGGTAGCAGAGGACTGAAATCATCAAACATAGCCAAAATAAGGTCAAAAAACCATGATCTCCAGGGAATAAAGAATGCCCCGCCCACTGAGCCAGCCCACGGCGATGTACCCACCTCACTCGTTCGACGGGTCCTACTTGGTCGTGAACTTCGTCCTACATGCGTTCGGACGTAATCGCCAGCATACGATGGTGCCGGTGGAGGTCCTGCTGAAAGAAGTACATGGATGACGTCATAAACATAAATATTTTCTGCAGTTTAGAAATAAAGACCGACCAATTGCAAGATAATTCGGAGGACCACCTGTTACTATAGATTGCGGCACCGAATAGGTATATGATGTATGCTGGTAGACACTGAAACATTGAGATGAAAATCGACCACTACTTCAAAATAACTTAAGTTTTCAGAGGAAGCTTCCAAAATAAATGAACAATCAAAGGAATCAGCACCCAAAGGTAGTAAGTACGATTGCTGGAGGCGGGCGATTGGCCAGCGTGATTGGTGGAAGGGCCGTGAGAGGAGGCTTTAAGCCAGACCTCATTCAGCGCTTCCACCAATAATGTTGCCGACAACCGCCCGCCCCGAGCAAAGACAAACAAGAAAATTCTTACAGGCCGGAGCAGGGGCAGAAAATAAAATAATAAAAAAATGATTACGAACCCTTCAGGATGGACTGCGCGAGCTGTCGTTGGAATGTAGTAAATGGAGCTTTCGTCATCAAAATCACAACAGCACTCAGCACAGCTCACTGACGAACAGGTTGGTAGATGAGTGGAGAACAAAAGGCACAGACTGAAACGAAATCAATAAAATCAATAAGATCAGTAGTGCCAGGGGCACTCGAAACATGGAATAGTTGAATCATCAAATGGAACCCCTCATGGAAGGTATGACCACAGGGAACGCTCATGCCTCCGAAGAACTACAGGACTTGGTTACCTATAGGCTTTTTACCACGACGTTTAGCCCAAATTAAATCAATAAGGTGGAGAGGAAATGAATTTAGGACCTAAAGGGGGTGGTGAGCTCTGTCACAGCATCAGGTGCGTCAAGTATTAGATAGCAGAACTTAGGGACATGTTTTGCATTCATTTGGTGTACAGACGCCGTCATTTCAGAAGTTAGTCCTGTCCGCAAGCACAGAGGAACCATCACTTCCACGGCTCAAAAATATGTGATAAGGGTGCTAGGCGCTCATGACGGAGTTGATGCTCCACCCACTACCCCATGCCCCTCCCAACGTCCATTTTCTAAGGAGTCAGTATGGTGGTGCGGCTTGATTCCGCTCCTTAGCCCCTAGCTCTATCCGCATTTGCCAATGAGGGCAGTGAAAAGACCTGATATTCGCTGTAACACCAGGTGGGAGCTGCCTATAAGTGCATGCCGCTTTCCAACTAATGCTAGTACAAACTCTAAACCTACGGGGGCTTATCTACAGCACCGGGCAAGGTTTTTCCTTTCGCTTTCTCACTATTTACCGCCTCTTGACACTGTCATATGGACCCCCCGTGACACGCTTTTGAATTGAATATTTGATGGACCTACTTAGGCAAGAAGAAGAGGTAGTGCAGAAGAGTGGCGACTGAGTTCACCAACAAAATCTTGAAAATGTGATTGACAATTGGTGCATCAACGGCAAACAAAGGTAAATAGGTGATGACCGGGACGAGACATGCAAAAACCACCGGCAAGAATGTGGCCTGAAAAAAAAACAATTTCATGTGAATCACATAAATGAAAAATGAAAAGGCGAGTGATACCGTACCTGGAATGAGTACTGTATTCGAACTCCGGCTCTCATCTGTTGCTTTCCAGATACGGAATAACTATAGCAAAACGCCATGACGACCACAGCAGTAAGCATATTCGCTGAAAAATGACAAAATTAACCTTTTTTCGTGTAACGCCATCTCTATAAATACCATAGGTCGCTGGTTATATTCTGTACAGCGCAGCTAGGCAGGTACAGTCCAATTGTACAAGTAAGGCAGCGTTCAGACTTCGTGACGGTAGCTGTTCGTTCAACGCCATTGACGCAGTCGAAAGCAGGTATGTGACAAGAGAATCGTAATTCGCCGCGCTGATGGGCGTCGCGTGCGACGTCGCGCCCGCAAATGACGATGGTTCCAGGTAGTAGATGGCGACAACAGGCAATTCAGAACCGAAAATAGTCATGAATGTCTACGATGACGGGGTCTACATGAAGTCCGGTGCTCCAATCGACAGGTTAACACGAGTTAAGAAAACGCCGCGCCCATCGCCGCGCGCGGCGGAGCGGCAAATTACGATTCTCTTGCCCGTCTCCCGTCGAAAGCATGCGCATTGATCGCGTCGAATGCGCGACCGAAGCGCTGCAGTCACGAACTCTGAACGCTGCCTAATATCCGATTTTTTGAGCGCGGACTGATGCACAACGGCAATCCCTCCCATTTTGTGGAAATAACACATTGTCCCACATTATGTTGTTCAAAAACATCGCTTAGGTACATTCTATATCCCACAGTTGGATAGTCCGTGATTGCGTACTTCGTTTAAACGTGGCGGCAGCTGCGCTTCTGCAGGGGTATTGCAGTTTCAGAACAGTTGCAACCATGACTTTGTACAGTACAAAATTGAATAACACTCTTATCAAGTGGAAATATCCCATGAACAATGAATTCTAGGCCATGTTCAAGTCAAGTACGCAACCACGCCTACTCCATCGCTTGGATGTGCAGTGTAATCCCGTGGCGGCGACGCAGCGAAGTGCGACGACAGTGCGCTGTTCCGCACGAGGACCTAGCATTACTGGAGTGACGTGCTAATGATTTAACAGGCAGCACTGCTGCGTGTGTCAAAGTCAACTACAGTTGGTACCACCGCAACCAGTCGGGTCGCAATCGGCGGTCGCGACCTGCGGCGTTGCCACCAGTGGTTGTTATCCTCCTGAACTGATCTTTTCCCGATCGCTATTGGTAGAGCAAGGCAGCCGCAGGTGGGCTCGTGCCACGCTACGCTCGCCGCCCCCGAATGTTACAAACGATACCTAGCAAGCTACTAATACTAGCACGGAACATGCTTTGAAAAGCTCTCTACCGCCAGTTCTGAGCAAATTTCGAATCAAATGAATGATATTAGCACTCACCAGATATGGCCATGGTAACCGTCAAGACGTTCATCGGTACACCCCAGTGCGTAGCATAGCCGACGGTTTCCACAAACACTGAAATTCATGAAACTTACTCAGGTTGGAAAATGGCTTTCGAAGCCATTCCAAAGACGGGAAACACTAGGAACACCAGGAACTATTACTTCTGTTACATGGCTTCTGTCATAATAAATAGAAACCTATATTGAGTGAAATCCAAGAAAAAGAAAGAAATCGGTAAAGAAAGAGAAAAAGAAAACAAAGAGGAAAGAGAGAGCGTCTGGCTTCGGTATACGGCGGTGAAAAGCTTCCTCTCATAGAGTGTAGAGACTAACCATAAGAGCTTTGATCGATGCGGACTTTGATATGTTGAGAAATCGAGTTAAACGTGAATGTTTGAAACGGCTAGGGGACTGAATAGTACAAACAATGCCCCGAGCGCTGTTCGGTTGGGGGGGGTGCACTCTCTCAATTCGCCAGTTTCTTACTAGTTCCTGTTAATCTACACGTCTCACCTTGCACTACCCGTAGACTCTTGTCAAGTGTCAACAAAGATTCTGTTATTGCTTAGCTTTACGAAAGTTACAGATCTCCAGAGAAGGTATTGGCAATGATTGGTGGGAACCAGCGAAATGTCCCCACCGAGCCGAACAGCGCCTGCCCCGAAAACCGCGAAAGCCAAAGGATAAAAGGTATGCTCAAGAAAATCGCGCGAACTATTCAACAACAAAAAGGGCATCTGAGGACAAAAATAATCGGAATAGTTGGCAAAGAGGGTCAGTGCAGGAACAAAATCTGCTTACCTGCGACAGACGTGAAGACAAGGATACAGGTGAGAGCCGGCTGGCCAAGAAGCACAATTGACAGCACGAACAGGCACACAAGGGATATACCGAAAACGAACAGACCAGATGACACAACCTGAAATGATGAGCAGTTAAGCGGTGTGGTTGCCTAGAGCGCCGCAAGGCCTGCATCAGCTGCAAAATACACTGCACAACGAACTAAAACTGGCTTGAAAAAATCTAGGATGAAGGGTAAGCAAACTGGCTTTAAAACCAAACAAGTTGCAGCAGCTGGATGAGTGAAATGGTGGAGTCAATAGGACCCGCACCCCCCCCCCCCTCTGCATTGGGAGGGATGAGGGGAGGCTAGACATTTCCGATCAACTTCCAGAAATAGTAGTTTCGCCACTCTTTCAGCTACAGGGTTGTCTTTTAAGGTTCATAAATGACCTTACTCCTCCCCCCCCCTCCCCCTCAGTTTCCAAAGAGGACACTGCGGATGAGTAGAACAATCAAGAACAAAACAAAAATCGCCTACACAAAGTACTGAATATTCTATTGAAGACTACTATGTATCTAGGAAAACTGCCGGGGCTACATTTGCAAAAGCGTCAATCCTATTCCAATGGAATAGTATGAAGTCGAACCTTCTATCTTCTTGCGAAAAGCGAAAGTTGGAAGAAAATTTGCTGTGGGGAAGCTACATGCATTAAAATTGCTGGACCAATGAGCGCCCAACCTATTTTCTTGTTCTTGCGGCATGACGGGCGCGTGTCAAGGGCATGGTTGGGCGCAGCGCCAAGTCCACTCTTTTCGTTTTTTCTGGCCAAAGCCACCGCAGACATGTATTATTATCGTTCGCTTCAGTTCGTTTTCCCTCAGATCGTATCGCTTCAACAATCGCTGGAAACGGGCTTGCACCGCACGAAACGCAGAACCGACGATCATCCCGTTTGATTTGGCAGCAACAAGGACTATTAGCTCTCAGTGAACAGAGCTGCACAAGTTTGTTCTCACTCTAAACAGTCCACTTATCAAAATTTAAAATGACTCACAGAAATGTCGTGCTTGAGTGACATCGTAAACGGGGCTCGTACGGAGACAGGCAGATGGTAGTCGCGCGATTTGGCAAGTAACGATTGTACCAGGGAAACCCTGACGACATTCAATTGTGAGGTGGCACGTCAAGAAACAAAGACTAAAAGACACACCGTTCATCGATACCCTTCTGTGTAAGCTCAAGATACATTCGGGAACGAGTGATTTGCGTTTGATGGCGATCAAACGTGATGTCTGACGCGAAGCGCTTGTATGGATCCGTCTCAAGGAACACCAGGTTCACTACTGGCACAAACGTGTCCTGAAAAAACCTCTATTATCTTTGAACCGTTAAGGTCAACATCTCACCAGTTGGTCAGTTGAAAGCTATTCATATTTTTATGTGACGGCGAAGCTTATAAAAGGGAAGTGGCGCGGCTAATCGTGCACACCGCTGCCTGGGAGAAAAGCCCGGATCGTTTCTTCCCAAAGCAACCTTTCATCATTCTGAGTGTGAAACTCATGTAGGAGGATAAAACCGTGACCCGACTGGTCTTCGCAAATCATTGTGCGAGCCAAATCGGATTCCAAACTCACTAGAATTTTGTGTGGGAGCAGGAGGCGTGGCTCAATCCGCAAGAGGTCATCAACGTCGAAACACACATTGTCGGTCCTCT